ATGGATTACCCCCCCCCCCCCCACACACTTCTTTTCTTCTCAACACACAGACACATAAGAGCCTTTATGTCAAGGTGTTCTGCAATCATGTTTGCACAGCTGTTTGCCAGTCTGTTGTGGCAACTTAATGTTTTTGTTTGCAGGATGTTGGAGTGTTTTCTCCAATGTACATTGACTGCGTTAACTGAGAAGTTCAACAAGGGCATTTTTAACTGTGGTGTGAAATGATTTGTAACAGTCCTGAAATGTAACAAGTAACAGCTTTGGATTTACATACATTTCACTCTTCTTTTTGTGTAAAAGAACAAGTAAATAAATAAAATCGATCAAACAAACAACAGCTTTGGCCATGGTCATATAGCTATGGGCATGTCAACATTGTCCTTTATGTTTAGGCTTTGCTGCCATCCTCTGGCAGCAACAACTAATAACAACAGCACCAAAGAATGTCAGTAGTAGTAATAATAATAATTATTAGTATTTTATTCAGTAAGGATGCATTAAACTGATAAATAGTGAGAGTAAATACATTTTCAATATTATGGAAGATTTCTATTTCAAATTTGCTCATTCATTAAAGAAACCTGTGAAAAAATGTATTATGGTTTCCACAAAAATATATAAGCCTGCATAATTATATAATAATAATAATAAATATTTATCATATTAGATTGATTATTGAAGGATCATGACACTGAAGCCTGGAATCATGACTGCTGAAAATTCAGCTTTGCCATCCCTTGGGGAAAAAAAGACACAAGAAATGCATTTATAGACTGCGGTTTAAAAGTTTGGGTTCAATATCATTTTTAATAGTATTAATAATTATTTTATTCAGTAAGGATGCATTAAACTGATAAATAGTGAGAGTAAATACATTTTCAATATTATGGAAGATTTCTGTTTCAAATTTGCTCATTCATTAAAGAAACCTGTGAAAAAATGTATTATGGTTTCCACAAAAATATATAAGCCTGCATAATTATATAATAATAATAATAAATATTTATCATATTAGATTGATTATTGAGGGATCATGACACTGAAGCCTGGAATCATGACTGCTGAAAATTCAGCTTTGCCATCCCATGGGGAAAAAAAGACACATTTATAAATATTTTCAAATAGAAGTTATTATAAATGATTAAAAAAATTCACAATATTGACGTTTTACTGTATTAACTTTCAAATAAATGCAGTCTTGGTGAGCATAAGAGACAGTGTTTGTTGGTCACCATAATACTGTCATCTGATATCAACAAAAGTTTGGATTTTTATTTTAATTTTAAAACATCTTCAGCCTTTAAAAGAGATTAGAGACAACATGGGTTTTCCATAGTTTTTTTATTGACAGTTTGTACAAAAAGAGGTATGATAAATCACATAACCAGCAACGAATAGGCCACATTTACCATAAAAACAACTGGACTTAAAAAAAAGAAAAAAGAAAAAAAAAAATGAAATGAAACAACAGGTGTTGACATACAATTGGTTAGTGTTTGGTCATGTTAGTTTGCGCAATACAGACAACCACACATGAAAACTGCTGAATATGCCATTAAACGTGAAATGAAGATGATATAATTAATCTAGACCATCATGTTCAATATTTCTGTCAATCGGCTAGGCTAGGCTAGTTAATATAATGTTCAAGTCTGTCCATTCAGTCCAACATTTGACTCCTGAATATTCCATCATCACTTTCTGAAAATGCCTTTTTGAATTTCTTTGTAATGCCATTAAAGTCTCCGTGAGACTGTGAAGTTACAAGTGCATTTGTTGAATGCAAACTTACAGCATCATGCATGCATGTTTGCAAGAGATCACTTTCTAACACAAGTGCAATGTCTTTAGATACAACACAAATATTTATGCTATAATTTACTAATCCATCAACGATAGTTTAACTATTCTAATTACACTAAAACATCACGCCTGAACAAGCTTTTGTTTTCCAAAAGCAAATGCTTTTTAATCAGAACAATATTTAGTAAATCGCCGACTGAGATCACATTAGCTGTGACGAGAGTCCAGCATTGATTGCATAATATGTGATGATGTTGCGTGTATAATGAGTAATGAAATCCAATGTGTGGTGATGAACATTACAGTATTCCAGAGCTTCATTATCAGCATTACAGATATCAATGACTTAAAAAACAAAATGGACTTGAACTGGACCGAAAAGACACTGAAATGCATGAAAACGCTATGCTAAAACAAACGTCACTTCTGCTTATGAATGATGGACGCTACCAAAAAAAAAAAACTATTTAAAGATGCTTACAGGCTCTGTATGGGATCTACCAGCATGAGGTTTAGTATAATTACCTTAAATTATAATTTTAAGCCCATGTGTTGGTAATGAACTGTCTGGAAATTATGTGGATAACATCTAAATCACTAACATGAACAGTTTGAGATCATTCATATCATGAAGATGTGAAAGTACAGACAACAGTAATGTAAACAAACAAGCGAGATGAAAACACCTGGGAAAAAAACTGACCGGAGTCCAGGGCCAGAATTAGGAGTGATAAACAAAATTATATAAAATGCATTAAAAAAAAAACACACAGAAAGATAACATTCAACAAAATGGGTTTCAAAACATCCTTTTGTGATAAATCTATCAAAGTCTGTGGAAATTATGTGGATAACGTCTAAATCACCAACATGAACAGTTTGAGATCCTTCATATCATGAGGGTGTGAAAGTACAGACAACAGTAATGTAAACAAACAAGCGAGATGAAAACACCTGGGAAAAAAACTGACCGGAGTCCAGGGCCAGAATTAGGAGTGATAAACAAAATTATATAAAATGCATTAAAAAAAAAAACACACAGAAAGATAACATTCAACAAAATGGGTTTCAAAACATCCTTTTGTGATAAATCTATCAAACAAATGCAGTCATTCAAATAATACTACTGCATAATCAGAGGACTTAAGTTATGAACACTGGATATTTGATATGCATACATACAGTATATACACATACAAGAATATCCTTCACTAAAAGTTTAGTACACTGAACTGTACAATAACTTCCAAAGGGAACTGTTCAGCAAAACACTGTTTTGCTTACATAGTAATACTATGTTTTACAATACAAGATCAAAATTGTTCCAAACAGAAAAAAAAGTTTTGTTAGTCGGTCAGTAAAACGGTCAGTCAGAAGCCACTGTTAGAGGAATCCATAGGGTGGGAAACGATTCTGCAGCTTGTATTCCCACTCAAAATGGGAAAAATGACTATTGCCTTACGACGAATAATGCCGTCGCAACGTGGCATGTTGTTTGTAGGCAACATGCTCAGGGTTAGCATTAGCCACTACCATTTAGCCCATTACCTTCAGCAAGCATGAAAACATGAAAACAAAGCCAAAACAAATCCTGGCCAGGACGCGTCCGGGGAAAATGGCACGTATGGTCACCCTAATTTAGCCATCGGTAAATTCATCTCTGGCTCTCGCCGACACCTGGGATTCAAGTAGAGGCTTTGCAGCAGTAAATGGAGGCGATAAACTCGAGAACGTTCCATCTCTGTTAAAAGAGGCCCAGTAATGCAAGCAGGACAACATCTCCCAATTCAAAAATACCACCCAGAGTATATACCAGGACTGAGAAACTTCGGTCCTGCAGAGTTTAGACGCAACCCTAATAAAACACAACTTAACATGAACCTAACGAAGAAACACTTCAGTTTGAAGCACATGAGGGGCCACAGATCACGTGACGTCAATTTCACAACAGCAAATGGACATTTGTGCATGGACAACCATCTGCCAGTTTGGAAAGAGTGGAAGGTGACCTCTAGAGGAGAAAATGCTTGAATGAACAAATTCTGGAAAGGCGAAACGTCATCTTTATGAAATGGTGATCTAAAAAAGAAAAACATCCTTTACAGTGGTGCTATTGTGCCACATCTGAAAAACACTTTCTTGTGCTTTTTTTTTTTTTCCTTTAAAGTCCTCCAGCCATTTCAGATCTTGACAGGTTTGTTTTTCTTTTCTTAAAGCAATGGCTCAGATAAAATAATTTCTGAAATGAAAGTTGTCAAAGAATTATTTTTTTTTCTTGAATGAAGAATTTCAGCCAATTCAGGCTTTTGTTTTTTCTTCAAGCATTCCCTTCTTTGATTGTCCTTTCTAAACGGACTTTTCCTAAAACATTTTGAAACAAATGGACAGACAGCATTAGCAAATTTGTTTGCCATCACTCTCTCTTTTTTTTTTTTTTTGAAACCCTCTCCAGTCTGACAGGCTCGAATCCCTCTCGTTCTCGGAGACTACAGCCCCCTTTGGGGGTCTGGGTTGACAATGCATTTCTAGGACTTGTTCTTCTTCCTTTGGTCTAAGCCTGGGACAATCTCTCTCGGTCTCCATCTAGCTTTTGCTTTCTCACCCTGTTCGTCTCTCTCGCTCTGCCTCTCTCCCTCTCTTTCCTGGTCTCTCTCCATCGGTTAACCATTGAGCAGGTAGACCACCAGCTCATAGGTGCACATCATAATAGCAGTGTTAGGGATCTGTCGGACCAGGTGAGTAGTGAGGCCTCGGTACATTGCTCTGTAACCCTCCTCCCGGATCACCATATTTAGAGTTTGGAAGAACGAACGATACTTGCTGCCCTCCTCACGTAGTCTGGTACGAATAACCTCTGTCATGGGAGAAAGAAAGAGATAGAGAGCAAGTTAATAAACAATCATTTTTCAGAGAAACAAAAACTTGGGAAGATGGCACACACAGTGGGTTCCAAAAGCCTGATATTACACAGAAAAAAAAGCATTTTATTTCTGCATTTCTATACATGGGAATACAAACCCTTTCATTCTAAATTACATTATAAAAATTCAGTGAAAAAAAAAAATAATTTAAATAAAAATTCACATCTACAAAAATGTATTAAAATCTATAAATTTACCTCTGAAAATTGTACAAATGTACTTACATTCGATCAGCTGTCCAGAAATGTTATAGATTATTTTTTCTTCATTCTACAACATAACTTCTTTTTTTTTTTCATTTCTGTTATTTTGTCCTTTTTTCTTTTAGTTTATTTTCAGGTTTAAATGGAAAAAAGAAATCACAGATTTTCAATGTGGTCTTTTAAACATGAGGAAGAAGAAGAAAAAAAAAAAGGATTTCATGGATAAACAGACAGATGGATTTTCAAGGTAGGTTCATCTTTTAAATACAGGTCGCAAATTAATGTATTGAGGGTCATGATAATTGTTCAAGAATGTACATGTAGTACAAAATAACCCACTGCCAACTAAATAAACATGCCAACTACAAACCAACAATGAAACAAATATTAACATAACTATCACAAAAAAAAGAGAGAGAGAAAAAAAAAAAGCACTCACCATGAGGATACGCAATTGAAGTGGCACAAGTCTTGGATGTGGCAGCAGCCAGCATCATTCCCACAAAGTCTGAAGCGTCTTTTACAGATTCATCTTCGTCATCCATGTTAGCGTTGGCCTTGGACTCAATGAGTTTGCGTTTAATGTTTTCATAGATGACAAAGTGGATGACAGTCTCTGATATGCCAGCATAAGATGCAGACATGCCCCTGTAGAATCCTCGTAACCCATCTGACTGATAGACCCGCCGGACACACTCAAATGCACTCATGCGCTTTTCTCCGCGGTTCCTGGAGAAAAACAAACGTGTGATAAATGTCACAAATCTGATTATCAGATTTTACATTTAAAAAAAATATTATTTTAATTTTAAATTGTACTAACATGTCATAATATTTCTATTTTTACTGTATTTTTGATCAGCCTTGGTGAGCCTAAGAAACTTCTTTAAATAACATGAAAAATCTTACCAACCCTAAACTTTTGAATAGTGTACAGCAAATAGAATTACTCACCTGGCATCAAGCTGCAATCGAGTCTTTATAAGCCAGATCGGGTTGGTTGCTGTGATGGCAGTGAACCCTGGGAAAAAGAGGTGTTCCAGATCAGGCTTGGAAGTGATATTGTCAGAGTAACTCAAAGCACAGGACATTCAGCAGGTCTAATGACTCTAAAACAGACAAATTTTCCCTAAAGAAACTCCACACTTCAAGGAAGTGCTGTGGACATCTGTAAAATATGCTTACGGCCTATTTGTTTCAGTTTAAATTGTGGGATCTGAATCTCGTTGAGCTTATTTCAGCATATCATACCAATCTCAATCACTAACAGTGTGATGTGGACTACATGTTCTCTTCAGGAATGCCCAGCATCGTTAGCATTAACAGCAATTACTATCTGATGTCGGGAAAACCATTACAGATCCACTAGGCACTTATTTAATATTCTGGGGTAAGAGCCATAAGCACATCTTAAGAGTGGCCACAGCAGTAAATAAGGCCTTTAGCTAAAGCATTAAGCAGCTTTTAATCTATAACAGAACTCTGAAACCAATGTAGCTTTACTTCTTAAATATCTAGTCCTATCCTCACTGAATTAAACAGTATTTTAGGGATCGAGTGGAAGCTAAATGAAATAAACATTTTTAGAAAAGGGTCTTAAGTTAAAAAGAACCGCTATTCAGTTGCATAACTGCAGCCAAATCACGCAAAAAAAAAACAAACGTATTTACTTTAGGCAAATGATTGTTTTTCACAGCATGGGCACGGATTTAAACCACCGCTGTGATTTTTGAAATGCATGCCATGCTAGTACTATGCTGGCAAGATATGCGTAAAGTGACAAAATATTAGTAAATGACATTAGCACAACAGTGGCTGAATTTATTTTGTTTGCCATTAAGGTATGTGTATGCAAATTAAGGTTATGTGTGCCTTAAGAGATTTAAAGGAATAGTTCACCCAAAAATGAACAATTTACTCACCCTCAGGCCATCCAAGATACAGAGGAGTTTGATTCGTCATCAAAACGGATTTGGATAAAATTAGCATTACATCACTTGCTCACCAATGGATCCTCTGCAGTAAATGGGTGCCGTCAGAATTAGAGTTCAAACAGCTGATAAAAACATCACAATAATCCACACGACTCCTGTCCAATAATTAATGTCTTGTGAACATAGACAATTAGTTTACACTTGTTAACGGTGCTTGATTTATGCATATGTCTCTCCTGATTCAGATTAGATGACTTTTTCACTGGAGAAAGCAATATTATCGATAGAGGACTCAGAGTCACATCAAACAATGGTTTGAAGTAAAAAAAAAATGCCTTGATGATGGATTTGCTTCTTACAAACACAGCTTTTTGCTTCACAAGATGTTAAATAGTGGACTGGAGTTGTGTGGATTATTGTGATGTTTTTATCAGCGGTTTTATCATTCTGACGGCACCCATTCACTGCAGAGGATCCATTGGTGAGCACGTGATGTAATGCTAAATTTCTCCAAAGTTGTTCCAATGAAGAAACAAACTCCCCTCCATGTTGGATGGCCTGAGGGAGAGTACATTTTCAGAAAATTTTCATGTTTGGGTGAACTAATTATGTGTGCTTGCATTGTATTAACAGCATTAAAAGCAACTGCAAAATATTCTGCCTGATGTTGGTAGGAACAATTAGTTTATCTATTCAACTGCAGCAAAATGAAGCACAAAGCCTGTGCTCGGTGTTGTGGGTGCACAAAATATCCCAGAACAAAAAAACAAAAGAGAGCACAAGACAATGGCAATTGGAGATGAAAATATTCATGTGCGTTTCTAACAGTATAGTGTAAAACATCAGTGTTTTCTTAGGCTAAACAAAGTCTACTGAGCTAGAGTAGAAGCTCTAGAGAGGGTAAGAGGCCTACTGACTGGTGAAGGGAGGGGGTGGATGACAGTTCGGTACAAGAGTAAGAGAGAGAGAGAGTGTGTCTCTGACGAGTACTCACAGGGGAGGGGCAAAGCTCCTCTCCTCACAGCTGCAGGACGAAGCCTGCAGATATGGGGGGTAGAGCAGGCTGGCTCACAGACCCTCACGCAGGGTGAAAGCTACAGTAAAGGCCTAAAATAGACACAGGCTTTTCTGTACCACATTCACAAGCAGCAGTCCACATTACCCTCAGAGTCAAGTCAAAACCATGAGGGAGTGGAATACGACAATAAACCTTGCCCACTTCCCATTAAACCCCTCCCACCTCCCCAACCAAGCCCCGCCCACACATATACATCAAACAATGACCATTCCATCCCGCTCACCACCCCATTTAAACATTCAAGAGAATGCTTTCATTTTCCTTTCTTTTTTAATGGATAGAGGGAGAAAGATGGTTAGAGAGGTAGAGAGAGAAATAGAAAGACAGAGCGAGATGAAAGTGAATTTTTGAGTTTTAAAGGACATCATTAGACTAGTGTTTTTCATTTTAAAAGGTACAGAACAGAGCTGATCTTGCTGTAGTAACACTATTTCTTTTATCATATCTGAGCTTTATCAATGTTGGGTCATATAAACAGCTACAAAATCAAACCAGGATCAAAGTTTATATCAACAATAACTTCATGGAGGGTCAGAGGCAGTGCATGTAAGAGTCCAATGCTAACCTTGTCATTCCTGTTGGCAAAATCATTGTGGAGTACAATTTTAAAGCGGGTTTTCTGGTACGATTCAATCAAGGTTTTGCTATTTGAAAAATACTACTTGCACAAAAATGAAATCTTGAATATGTGGGTCCATATAGAGAGGGATTTTTTTTCAACATAATAAAAAACATGTTTATTTAGTAGGGTCAAAATTAGTGGTCGACTGATATTGGTTTTTTGACAGCCGATGCCGATATCTTGGAAAGCAGGGTATTTATTTTAATTAATATTTAAGAAATTTTAAATCATTTGAAAATGAATTTAAAAATAAATGTGTAAAATAAACATACTTATACTTTAAATGACTTTATACTTTTTTTTATAAAAATAGAATTAAAAAGGAAGTAAACACTGTAACCAACAGGGCACTCAGTAATCTGGGAAGTTTGTGTGCATTGGGATATGGGAATCATATTTTTTCAAATAAAGCCAAGGTAACACTCATTTTACATACATCACACAGTGAAAATGACATGAATATGACTGGGTAAAATGAAGCGCAGCATAATTTGAAATCACGAGTTTAAAGTTTGACGATCGCGCGTCTCCAGTGAAGCTGAACTCTCCTCCTGTCCGCATTCAATTTGCACGGACCGACCGTCACGCAGAGAACACGTGATCATGCAGGATACAAATGCACACTTCACAAGATCACAAGTTTGCAAGATCATTCAAAGATTTGTTTAAATTATATAAATGCGTATTTGCTGAATGCTGACGGAAAACGAGAAAGTATTATAATGTTTGCCTTTCTATTACTAATAATATAAAAGCAATCGTTATAATACTTTTTTGTATACATTTTAATTCCTTTGTTTAACAGTTCTTTCTGATTATTAGACAGATTTCTGTCCGTATTAGACAGAACTGTTAACGACGACAGCGAACAAGGAGAATGTGAACACTGTGTGCGCAGGCGCTGCTGTTCTAATAAAAGAACCATCAAAATAAAAGTCCCGCTCTCGAATGCATCAGCCAAACAGAATAACTTATCAGCCGATGCCGATATTTGAAAAATGCCAAATATTGGCAATATATCGGTCGACCACTAGTCAAAATGAAATAACTAACATTTAATCACAAATTATTAGGGGTGGGAATTGCAGAGTACCTCACGATACGATACGAATCACGATACATGGCTCACGATACGATAATATCACGATACAGCGATTCTGCGATAATCGATATATTGCTAGACAATCTTATAACGAAACACCACAATATCTGTCTAACTATGAAAACAAAATGCCTGTGAAAAGGTTAAGTGCAAGTTTTCTCTCTTTATTCAAGTCCAAACTGTTAGAAAACAGCACAAAAGTTCTGTAAATCAAATTTAACATGCTAAGTAAATTAATCATTTTATTCTTGGACTTATTAAAAGCTTACACTTTTCTTTGTGTGTAAACCAACACATTTAACTGCTTATCAACTTTATATATAGCCTATATATATATATAAACCTGGTACATTTCAAAATTTACCTGGAGTGTTTTCTCAACCTTTCCTTTCCTCTCATCATAAAAATGGAGCCCCGCACACATGATATGCAGGGAAAAAATAGCCGTTCACATCGCCTCTTTTGCGCGCTCAGGTTCGTTATTTCAAATGTAGACACGCTGCAAGCACACACACTGCACACTACTGTGCCGCATTACGGCTCTGACGAGGTTTTGTTTCTGCCGGTCGGTGCCCACTGCATAACGTGCACTTGCAATATCTGAGAGAGAGGGAAAGCATCCAGTTTTGTTGACATAAAACTGGATGTGCCGGCAGCACTCTCTCACTCATATAGTTAGTGAGGGAAATCCACCTGCAATCCAAGCGGAGAGGTTCCTCGTGCTTCCCCATCTTCATAGAGAACGCGGTTCATGGTTGCTCAGAGCGCTTTGGAAAGAAGGTGAAAATGGCGCGGCCGCGATTTCCACGCATTTTTAGACGCTGGGAGCAGGGAAATCTATATAGAGCGCCTTATTGTAATAATTAAAATATCGATATTTGGCGCCAGATATCGGTTCTCGTATCGCATGGAGAAGGACAACGATATATCGCCATATCGATATATTGTCCCACCCCTACAAATTATATTATTAGGATAACAATTTGAGTTAAGTGAAAAATTAACATGAATTTCATTCATTTCAATGGAGGCAAAAAATAAGGTTCAGTAGAATGCTGAACCTTAGAATTCTCAGAATTCTTTGAATAGAAAGTTCAAGAGAACAGCATTTATTTAAAACAGAAATCTGTTTTTAAACAATTTAATGCCTCCTTGTTGAATAAAACAATTAATTGGGGGAAAAAAAACACATTTGAATGATAGCTTATATATAATATCATTGGTTTAACATTTTTAAAAAATTTAAGGTTCAGGTTCAAACTAAATTTATTTTCAATGCAGAGTTTGGACCACTCTGTATGATTGCACCATTTGATTCTTCAGCGGTCTGAAGTGGTTAATAGAGGCCTTGCTATGACTTTTATGATTTATATGATTCAGTCATAACCTAACCACAGTGATGAACAACGTGTGGGCCATACGTGACATGCATCAGGTTGCAGGAACTGCGCTAGAAGCAACTGTAACCTGATGCTGATTCAAAGAGCCATTAAGAAAGGGAAAAAAAAGTCACCTGTGCTTTTGAGAGGAGAGAGCGGTGAATGTAATGAATATTTCATAAGCATGTCCCTTATCAGATGCCAATTTTCCATTGCAGGCCTTCGGGGACCTATATTTAACCACTTTTGTAACGTAAAGACTATGTGTGCTACAAGATAGAGTTTGTCAGGCCGTGTGGCCGTGTGGCCACACAGACAGAATATGGTATGAATGTTTACGCTGCGATGAATGCGCTTCCTGTCTTGCAAAATAACACAGCCTACATATAGCGCAATCGAATGACAAGGTTAGCATTCAGGATTGAAATTAAATGCAAAAAAAGAAGTGCATGTAGTTTTTCACTGAATTTACCTTTACAGGGGATTACAGGCTGGCAAGGGGGCCATGAGTCAAAACTGCGTAAACAAACACAGCCTACATATAGCGCAATCGAATGACAAGGTTAGCATTCAGGATTGAAATTAAATGCAAAAAAAGAAGTGCATGTAGTTTTTCACTGAATTTACCTTTACAGGGGATTACAGGCTGGCAAGGGGGCCATGTGTCAAAACTGCGTAATCACAAGGAGGTAAAAAAAAAAAAAAAGAACTGCAAGCCAGCTACAGTGGCTACATTAATTTAAATAACCATCATTATCATTATTAATAATCATTACAATTAGGAGAATCATGATCATACCGGTGAGTAGAGACGTGACTACCTGAGGCGTCCCGATCCCGCCCGTGTCAGTCACGAGGACCGCTGCCCACCGCGCATGGCACTCTACATGTTAGCGTAGCGCCCTGTTAGTGGCCACTACTACACACAGCACAGACAGCGTGTGAAGCCAGACTGTTTAGTAGCACACTGGCATGTAATGACTTATGTCCTCCAGTCCTCAAAAGGTAGAAGAAAACAAAAAAGGAAAAAAAGAAACTGGGAAAGGAAAGCACAACCCAAACTTTAAGGACCTTTTTTTTTTTTGCAATATTGCTAACAAGCTTTCAAGCAGATATAACATGCTTGAAAGTTAGCCTATTTGTTTTAGAAATGCTCTCAAATTACTATTTATTCTTTTTCAAATTAAATTTTAAATTTATATTAAAATTTTCTTTCTGTGTAGCTCACTTTCTATAAATAAATAATTAAATTGTTCAAACTGTTTGACAGACTAAGAGAGAACACAAATATTTGCTGTTAATATGATTAGCTTCAAATATGTCTGTTTCAAATAAATATTTTTTATCCTGAAAGTCTTCAATTGTGCTTTCGGTCTAAATGCTGTCATACCTTGAAAAAGTAACCCAATATACCATGGCTAAACTCTCCCATTTGTACTAGATGGTCACTAGGATAAAGCATTTTATCGTAATAAGGCTGTCATTGCTAAAAACAAAAGCGACTGACAAACATTGGTTATAACACCCCATGATGCAAACTCTGGTTTTTGCACACTAAGAGGCGAGTATCATTTTAGTTCAGTGTGTGAAATACAACAAAAAAGAGCCAATGCAAAATTAAGTCAAAAATGCATCTACATGAAAGATGTAGCTGGGACTCCTACCTGCTAAACCAGCGGACAGCATGTGAACCTGTGTGGAGTCAGGATCAAACACATTGTTCAACTTCTCTTTGGCTGTGGAGTAGGCAGCAAAATAAATTGCTCTGTGGACAAAACAGGAATTAACAACATTAATTGGTTTTGATGTTCTGTTATGTCTGACAAATGTATCAGAAGTAGAAGGGAAAAAAGTTGTATTTATTTATAGTGAGAATAAATATTTTTTAGATATGTTTTCACATTAATATTTTTGGGTAGGGCTAGGGCTGAATGTACATTATCCCCCTCCCTACATAGTTTAGGTAGGGAGGGGGATAATACCCCTAACAAAACTAAAACCCTAACAAAAATAAAAAAAATAAAAAAATAAAAATAAATATATATAT